CCCGAATTCCTTTCTTGAAGTGTTTAAAGTATTGAAAAATTCTAATTGAAGTACATGTCATGAAGAATTCAAATTTGGAATGTTATTGGAGTTCATATATCAAGTTGAAGTTCTATTTTGAATGCACATTGAGAATTGGAAATTGGTATTTGATTTGAATAAGAATTCGAAATGGAGAAGAACATCATTGGAGGCATTTTGAAAATTTTTGGGCCTTAACCCAGTGCCTAGGAGCTGGCTTGCTATTTTTCAACAGCAAGACTGGCGCATAGCGCCATAAAATCTCTTAATTTCTCTATCATATTCTTGTCTTTTTTTATTATTTTGTTCTTGGTCTAATACTTTATTATTTGCCATATAATTTCAACAATTCATTTCGGTGGTTGGTTTCATCAAGTGGTATTCAAACAATACATAATTCTTGTATTTTCAACATTGCCAACAACGATTCGGGCATATTAATATTTCTTCTAACAAGAGATATTTTGGTTGTTTCACAACAATAATGAACCGATTGATCCTTTTTCCTGAATTTGTTTTGCCAAAATCAGCCACTGATATTACCCATAGCACTGAAACTATTTCACCATATAACAATATACTTACGCCTTCTGTCTTCAGCCCGAATATTAGTCATAGTCATGACACTACTGTCACTTTATCTCCTCACTCCAACTCAAATCAAGAATCAAGTTCTTCCACAATACCAAATCTTAGAAGATTAAACAGATCACACAAAAACCATCATATCTCCAAGAATATCACTGCAATCTGCTAACAAATACTTCTTTCTCATTTGATCATCATACATAGTACCCCATTAGTAAATATCTATCTTATAAAAAAAATTTCACCTTCCTATCGCACCTATCTCTGCAACATTTTTTCCAGTTCAGTTAAATTTGATCATTGGAGGAAGGCCATGGAAACTGAGTTGGAAGCAATGGAGCTAAATGACACTTGGTCAGTTGTTCATCTGCGTAAAGATAAACACACCCCATAGGCTGCAAATGGGTGTTTAAAATCAAATATAAATCAGATGGCAGTGTTGATAGATATAAGGCACATTTGGTGGCAAAATGTTGTACTCAACAAGAGGGCCTGGACTTTATTGAAATTTTTTCTCATGTAGCTAAGTTGGTTTCAGTCAAAATGTTTCTTGTCGTTGCAACCATTAATAAGTGGAAGATCATTCAATTGGATGTGAATAATGCATTTTTAAACGATAATCTCTTTGAAGAAATCTATATGGACTTACCTTTGGGATATATTAAACATGGCAGTACAGATACACAAGGAGAAATGTTGGTATGTAAATTACACAAATCAATATATGGCTTAAAGCAAGCATCAAGACGGTGGTTTTCAAAATTCTCTAATGCTCTTATTGCACATGGTTTCAATCAATCAAAAGCTGACTATTCTTTATTTATAAAGGGTTCTAAAGATACATTTGTTGCCTTATTAGTCTACGTTGATGATATTATCATAACTTGTTTAGATTTGAAGACCATAAACTCCTTGAAACTTCTACTGTACTGCTTGTTTAAGTTGAAGGATCTTAGTTTCCTGAAATATTTCCTTGATTTGAAGATTGCATCCTCACGGAAGGGTATTTTCCTTTCTCAGGGACAATACACACTACAATTACTGGAAGAAACTGGTTTTCTTGGCTGCAAACCAGCTCTCAAACCTATGGATCCCAAGGCAAAACTTTGTGCATTTGAGGGGGAGCTTTTTGCAAATGCTTCACTATATAGAAGGCTTATCGGTCGCCTCCTATACTTAACTATTTCCAGACCAGATATCACATTTGTCATCCATAAGTTGAGTCAATTTGTTGCGCAACCTAGACAACCACACTTAAAATGCAGTTCACCAGCTTTTATAATATCTCAAAGCTGCTCCAGGACAAGGAATTTTGTTTTCAGCATCTTCTTCATTTCAACTTCGTGTATTTGCAGATGCTGATTGGGGTGCTTGCTTGGATACACGAAAGTATGTGAAAAGGTTTTGTGTCTTTTTTGGTGATTCCATGGTTTCTTGAAAAGCAAAGAAACAAAGCACAATTTCAAGATCATCAGTAGAGGCCGAATATCGAACTTTAGCATCTACAACCAGGGAGCTCGTCTGGATCCATCAACTGCTGCAAGACTTTCAGGTGACAATTAACATTCATGCTCTCATCTTTTGTGGCAACCAAGCTACTATGCACATTGCTAGTAATTCAATTTTCCATGAGCGAACTAAGCACATTGAAATAGATTGTCACTTCATTCGTGATAAGATTAATGACGATTTTGTCAAGCTACTTCTAGTTAGAACACAACACCAGTTGGCTGATATATTCACTAAACCCCTTCCTGCGACTTCATTATTCCCTCTATTATTGAAGATGGTTGTCATCAATTGTCATTGTCCATCTTGAAGGGGAGTAACAGAATCCAGTTCATCATCTTGCCAGCTTCATCTTACCAACTCCAACCCAACTTGCACCAACTGCATCCAGCTCAATTTAGTTAGCAATTCAGTTAGTTAGCAATGCAAGTTGATAGGGTAAAATTAGTTGGTTTAGGTAGTTCAAATTTTGATTCCTATTTATAGGCGGATGTGATACACTTGTAAATTGAGACTTTCTCATTTTTCAATACAATTCTATCTTCTTCATTTCAATACAATTCAATATGGCGTTCCGTGTTTCCTCACGAGGTATAAATCCATCAAGCACCATCTCATCAATAATATGAGCAACTTGGTGAAGGTCTGTCTCCTTTCTTGCAAGCGCAATGAACGAGTGATTCAAAGGTATTGGACTCAACTGATATTCTTCTGCTTCGTACGCTCGTGTCTAACTGAAAAGCACAATTCAGGTTATCCTCAGCACAGAGTCCTTGAACTATTCTGTTATAAATCCGTACATGAAGTCCCCAAGAATGATCCCGGAAAGAACCATTTCATCAAGGAAGCTCACTGCTTCCAGAAAATTGTTAACGTCACAAAACCCATTGATAATTTTTTAGTACAACCTGGCATCAGGTTTCAATCCCTGCACCTTCATTCTATCAAGAACCTCAACAGCACCGTTATGGTTACCATCTCTACAGAGTCCATGAATTAAGGAACTATAAATTATTGTGTTTGGGACTCGGCGTTTTCGAATCATCTTCTCCAATAGCTCCTTGGCTTGTGAAGAATACCCATTTTTGCAGAGACCATTCATAATGGAACTATAAGTATATACATTGGGCTCAATTCCTTTGCTCCTTATCTTTTTTAGCAAGTCGATTGCTGCTTCCAAATAATTCGACTGGCAAAGCCCGTGTATCAACAAAGAATAGGTAACAAGAGTGGGCGAACAGTCAATTGCCTCCATCTCTACCAAAAGTTCTATTGCTTCCCAAATTCTCCCTGCTCTACACAATCCATTAATCAGAGTTCCGTAAGTATACGAATCCGGACTGTACCCACGTCTTGGCATCTCGTGAAATATCCGGAAAGCAGCATCCATCGTTTCATTTCTCTTGCAAAGTGCTTAGATCAACACGTTAAGAGAGAAGACACTAGTAGGAATTCCTATTTTCTTCATATACCGATAGAATTTGAATGAGATTTTTAATTGACTTTCATATACAAGAATGGAAAACACTGTTGCATAAGATTTTCCTGTGGGTTCACATTCATAATCCTTCATCTTACGAAAAACCCGAGTCACATCATCAGGCTTGTGAACCCGGGCATAAGCTCTGTATATAGACAAGAAGATATCTTCAGTGATTTTACATTTCTCGTGCTTCATTCTATCAATCATATCCTCTGCCAATACGAATATATTCGCTGGGAGTAATCTAATGATCGTAAAATCAAATGTGATGTGATCATGCCGGAAGCCACTAGAGTACTCTGCAGTGGCGGCATCAAATATTCAAATAGCCTTCTCTAATTCATTTTCTGCTTGAATTCATTGCTCAACAAGAGACAGTGATTTGCTTTGGCCATTTGATCATTGACTAAATGTTCAATTGGGCCATTATACTTTGATTTGTATCAATTAGGTCATTAGACTTTATTTTTGTGACAATTGGTTAACTATATTTTAACTTTGTTTCAACTTAGGCCACTTTGTCAATTATGCTACATTGTTTAACTCCAGAAATCAACATGTACATTAAGCCCCCTCTAGCTCAAAGTCAATAATTAATTTTAATAACATATTTCATGAAATTCACGAATTTTCAACAACAAATTTCATCAATTTTTATCAAAATCTACTAAAATTTTGATTTTAATCTGCACTAAACAAGGCCTAAATATTGAAAAATGACCTAGAAGAAGTGATACAATAGAAAAACTCATTATTATTTTAGATTTGTGGACTGAAAATAATCCATACGGTAGGTTTTTCAATTGTATCACTTCGTCCGAAGCATTTTTTTACTGTCATGTAGGATGGTTGTTGGTATTTAATGGCCACGTTAGTGTTTGCCTGATGGTGTGATGAAATTGAACGAAGTGGCCTAAATTGAAACAAACTAAAGTATAATAAGACAAAGATTGTCTCTAACAAAAAAAAGAAAAAGGATTATCATTGAGATTAAAGAAATAATTGAAGGATTAAATCAATAAAAAAATATTTCACCAACATTTGAGGCTCGAAACTATGTAATTCAAAATGTCTGAATCAGAGTGTGCCTTCGGGCAAAAAGCAAGGTTAAAAAAAAAAATAATAATAAATAAATCTATTACGATTTACTTTCTTCAATTCATTTTATACTTGTCTAATTAAGTAAATTTATGGAAGATTAAAAATGTAATATAAAAAATTTCTTAAAAGTTGATAGATAAATAAGAATTGTGGATGAAAATAAAGGTTCCCACAAATTATAAGAAATTTTTGAAATAAAAAATAAATATTTGTGAA